CCCCCCCCCCCCCCCAGTCTGAATAGGGTTAAAACAATAAATATATTATACACTCAAATTTCCATAACAAAATGTAACGGAAGGAGAGAAATGAATCGGCATTTTATTGTATACCTAAACATCACAGGTCACGACATGACACACCTGATTTTGGCTGATTTGCGTAACCACTCTAAAGATCACTCGAGGAACACAATGCCAAACAGGCCAAAAACAATACCCTATTTAAGGTTCGAGACCCTTAAAACCATACCCTATTGGGCAGAAATTATTTACTAGTCAAGCAGGTGGATTTGCGGACCACTTTCACCCCTTCATGTGTCATTGTATATTCACGTGTATTGTAGTTGTGAGATTATGTTACTATCTAAAAGAGCAGGGGGCAAAATTTTAATTCTTCAAAAAACATAGTCAGAATTGATGAGGCTACTTGGCAAACTGAAAGGGAAGAAATGGCTTACTTTAAATGCATTGGGAAAGGCTCAGCTTTAACTTTGGAGGAGGCAATAACGATTGCTAAAAACTTAACGTAGACGCCACGGCTAGCCACGTTAGTTATGAGACCAGAGTACAAAGGCAACCTGACCCAAGCAGCAATCCATCAACTCTATGAAAAGCAAGAAACCAGGCATAAAAAAAGAAGAAACAGCAGAGGGAAAGAGGTGGATCACACAATTAAAAATGCACCAAGAGAGAAACCTGTTTCAATTGTGGAGCAAAGCCTGTACATCCAAGAAGTCAAAGAGGTGGATCACACAATTAAAAATGCACCAAGAGAGAAACCTGTTTCAATTGTGGAGCAAAGCCTGTATATCCAAGAAGTCAATGGCCTGCAACGTTAAGTGTAGAAAAAAGGGAAATTTTGGCTCTAGATCTGTTTGCAAGTCCAAAAGAGGAGGGAATGTTAACGAGTTACAAACCCAGCCTATCGATGCGCCCTCAAACGAAGACAGCGTAAGTATTTTACTGCAGCTGTGCATTATTTGAAAACGGTAATCGCAAAGACTCTTAATCACTCTCACTCACAGCCCCACATTCGCCCTCTTTGGCTTAGTAAGGAGCTCGATCTCATCACAGATTTCCAGATCTCCTGTAGAGTCGATACAAATGCAAGCTGCAACATTTTACCTCTGTACAAAGCAAAATCTATTTTTGGAACGGACCTCAAGCTGAGACAACCGACCATGAATCTGAAAGGGTACATTAACAATGACATTTTAGTCGAGAGTCTCGGATCTTGTTATGTGTACCTTCATTATGTCAAGCAAACATACAAAGTTTCATGTGTGGCAGACAGCAAAGATTACATGATCCTGGGCAGCCACCAAACATTACTAATGGTGTATGTTAGCTTCCCGGGGACTCAGCAGCCAGCGGTCAAGGCCAAAAGGACACGTCCATAAAAACCATTACTGACAAGCCTGCGAAACCCCCTGCAGAACCAGTTTTTCCAGTAGTACAAGAATGTACAGACAAGAACATAACCTTATCTGATAGTATTCAGTTGAAGGAAGATTACAAACCTGTCAGCATCCCCCTCGTCAGGTAGCAGTGAGCCTTAAACCAGCTTACAAAGTAGAGTTAAAGAGACCGGTAGAACTTAAAGTAATTAAAGAAGTCCAAGAGTACACTGAATGGATCAATTCAATTGTTCCTGTGAAGAAACCTGATGGTTTCTGAGTTTATGCCTTGATCATAAAGGTCTAAAGAAAGCCATTAAGCACTACCAGTGGTACAAAAAAACAATTAATGATGTCCTACCTGAGCTGGCAAACTCAAAGTACTTCAACCTATTCGACACTAAGTCGGCTATTGGCACTTTCTACTGGACAAGGAGAGTAGTTTGCTGACGACCTTCAATACACAATGGGCAGGTACAGTACTTGGCTACGCTAACCCTTTGGGTTAACCGTGGTAAGTTACAGGTGACGTGTTTCAAAAAAGACATGACAGAGTCCTGCGGAGTGTTCCCACTACTATCAGTATAGCGGATAATTTCCTGTGCCCTGGCATCTTCTAAATATAATTAGGACTTATGGGTTTTGAACTGGGACTCATTTATTCTGGATTAGGAGTCATGATAGGACTCATTATTAGCAAATACCGTATTTATTCGATTAACCTCCCTGGGCGCTTATTAAACTTTTGGACCTTGAGAGTGGGCGCTAATTCGAGGTGGGCGCTTATTCGGGGCTGGGCGCTTATTAAATTTTCAACATTTTCAGCAAGAGTAGTATGTTTATTTTGCACAAAACAATAAATGGTAATAACAAAACGCGAAGAGGTAACAAAGCAAGGTTCCTGTAAAATACCTTGAAGAAAACTCCGTCTTGGGGAAGTCCCTTATTAGTACTTATTCAATTTTTTGGGAGTGGGGTGGGGGTGGTCGCTTATTTGAGTTTGAGTGGGAGTGGGAGGAAGGTGGGGTGGGGTGGGCGCTTATTAACTTTTCCTGCCTTTAGGATGGGCGCTTATTCGAGGTGGGCGCTAATTCGAGGTTTGGCGCTTATTCGAATAAATACGGTGGTAACAAAATCACTAAAGATACAAAGGTTAGATTTTTTTCTACGAAAAAAAAAAAACAGAGGATACAGAAAAACTCCAAAAGGATCTTCATCCACGCGAATGCTACAGCTTACTGAGTAAGTTGTGAATTTGGTACTTGTAGATTGTTTTGTGTTCAATGAGCATGTCTAATTAATTGATAGTTCCTATTTCGAACCACTCCTTCTTTGTCAGTAAGAGGCTTCTCACTGATTGGTCCAACTCAATACCAGACTCGGGTTTCAAGCCATCTGCTGAAAACACATGTCCAACATAGCTTACTTCAGGAACTCGAAGTTTTAATTTCTTTTTGTTGCTCTTTAATCCTACTTCCCTGCTTCTATCCAGTACTCGTCTCAACTTCGGCAGCATCACTATAATCTGCACAGGAACCCCTTCAAGAAGTTTGTCCATCCCCCACTAGTAGATTTCACGAGCAGGAGAGATACCAGGGTGAGTTCAATATTAGGAGTTTATAGAGGTCTTTATCATCAAATGGGATCTCTCAGTACCCACTGCATGCATTCAAGGAAATGAAAATTGAACATGTATCTGACATCTTTTGGCACCATCCTCTAAAGTAACCATTGGATAGTGTGGTCTCCTAAAAGCTTTGTTTAGGTCCTTTGGTCTATACAACTTCAAACATCACTCTATAAGGGTGGAGTGCTCTTTTCTTCCACTTTTAATTTGTCAGTCACTCTTACATGAAACTCAAGGGGTGTGTTCCCCTTCTTTGAAAATAATCTCATCTTTTTCCATCTCTGTGAGCTTCTCCTATGCTGGTTCAAGAAGAGCATGGGTTTTTTCCTGGGAGTATGTACTACTGGAGAAACCAACAGATCAACTTCCAAAAGCACTTTGGTAGGTAGTTTGCCAGGTTTATTACTGAAAGAATCTTCATATAATCCCGCAACACAGGATCAGATTGGAAGACACTTCCTGTTTTATGCACTGATAGGTTTTTTGCAGCTCTGGAGTATTTGTCAGTTCGAAATTCATCGATTCAGGATCTCTAAGTCTAGATTAGTATCACAACCCATCACAAGATACAATAGGTTGACTTCACGAGTCCCATATTGATTTAGAAGTTTTTCCCAGCCCTTTCTTTGGTTTAGATGCAAGGCACCCTTTGCAAGGTAGGTGGTAGGTAAAGTGTTGGTGTGTTAAACTTGTAAAACAGTAGGGGGTCCATCTGCCTAAGGGATTTTTCTACAGGTTCAAACGGTACCCGTACTACAAACTGATTGAAAGATGTTTGTGTTCTGTTAGAAAGATAACTTTGCAACCAGGGTGAGGTCAAATTAGAGAAACTAAGATTCGGAAATTTCACGAATCGTTTCCGATAGAGGATTCTATCAAACGCCTGCTTAGACAGGCAACAGAGACATGGGGGTCGATTATTCCAGGCAAACGCAAGGTGCCCTTTCTCTTAATGCACGAACCCTAGGCTTGTTTCCAGTCATTCGAGAAAAGAGGTGTTTTAAGGACAGCTCATTCATCACAGGTACAATTTTCATTAGGGGCACCCAGTATGACACCGCTAGTTTTCGAATGCTATTTCAACAAGCTTATAACTGTCGATTTTGCATTCATCATTCTTAATACCAAGATTTTCAATCGCCTAAAAATTTGATTTTATCCTTGTCTGATCGCTATAAAATTTTCACCACTGACAGACTTTGGATTAAAGTTAGTCAAAAAGCCGTTTTAGGTAAATCGATATCACTATGACAACAATAAACAAAAAACTTAATAATCGATTAAACCAGAATTTTGCGCGATCTAGACCTACTGAAAAGCCGAAACCAGAAACTTAAAGAGTGGCAATAAGAGAATTTAAAAATTATGTATATCTGAATTCAAATAAAACGTAAATATATATCACAAACCTTATATTTTCAATAGTCGAAATTGCTTCCAATTGATAAAAAAGTTTTTAATATTTAAAATTAATCTTAAGTAGCATCAGAATGCTGCTTTATATCATATTTCGCTGCTTGGAAATTCCGGTATATTCTTTCCTTGCGATCCTGAAAACTAACCTATTTTCTCAGCCCCAGTCGAAGTGCAGCGTTATTCTAAAGTTAGACTTTTAGCTCTTTTCTGTACATCTCTAGATCGACTGGACAGAATTATTTTTAAACCTTATCACATAATCTTGACGATGTATATAATAATGTTTAAAACTTTCATTAAGATTGATTGACCGCAACACCTTGAAATCTTCAGGCGAACGTAGCCCACGATCCGACCAAAAATCCCCTTTACAACATTTACTGTTTTGAAGTTATGCTATTTTTTTCCCCCCAATTATTAGTAATGCGCACCATACACGCCTCCGTGATTAGTATATTTCAATTGTTGGCTTCACACTCGCTCTCTAGTGTCATTCAAGTGTACTTGGAACCTATTTTGGGTGTGAAGAGGTAAAATGTAACTACCTCAACTTTACTTGGTGACCACGAAACGTTCGTAGTTAAAAGAAGCCGAAGTTCGTCGCCAAGTATGGTTTACACCACACGTGAGAACACACTTGACCGCAGGGCTGTCACCAATAGCCGGGGACCGGGGATTTTCCCCGGCTACCATAAGCCTGAGCCCCGGCTACTCTAATAGGAAAAAAGGGACAATAAAACAAAAAGAACTTCCCTGCTGTACAATTCCCATCACATTAGTCGCGTATACTCGGCAACTTAAAATCATCATGTTAGCGACAGCCCTGTGGCTTGACCAACTAGAAATGGAAGCCGCATGCACAATGTGCACGTGCAGCGGTTCCAAGATTCTAACGAACGGACAGATAAAAATCCATGTCTCAGTTTGCAAAGGGTGTCAGTAAAACAAGGGGTTGGGGAACGTCTATCTTTTTTTAAAGAATGCTGTTTTAGGGTTAGGGTTAGGGTTGACACTAACCCTAAACCTAACCCTAACCTAACCCTAACCCTAAAAAAAAAGATAGACCCCGAACCCGGCCCCGCGTTTTACTGACACCCGTTTGCCAAGAGAATTGTGGAAGAGGCCAAGCCCAATCCCTATGGCGATTTTTTTTTTCCCAAACAGCGCGTTGTTCTGCGACAAGATCAGTGACGTGATGATATTCGGCCGACCGCTCTTTCAATGGATCGAGGGAGAAGTGGATCTGATTGAGATGAGATATCTTCATGCTGTGTGACGCTCCGCGCCTTTTTTTGCTATTTTTAGATTTCCATTTCATCCTAGAGGTGGTAGTTCGGCAAGATGACAACAGGAATTGTTGAAGGATGTTGAAGACGACAGAACATCACCGCTCCTTCTCGGCTCTCATCAAAGTTGCTCTTACAACGGATTGGAGACCTAAACCACCATCGCTTTCGTATCCTGCATTCCAGTGTAATATATAGATTTAGCCAGGGCTAAAAGCGAAGCTCCCATTAATAAATCTATATTTTAAATCAAACAATAAACTTGTAATCCACAAATCAGTTAACTTAAGGGCACATTCATGTGACTTTTGAGGGAAAGGATAAGTTATTTTAGAGTGAAACATCTTACATCGAGTTGATAGCCTAAATACACATGTATGTACACCCAAAAAATAGCAAACATCTTCTATCACATTCAAGAGCCATAATGGCTCTTGATCACAGTAGATTAGGCCTCGAAAACAAATTCTTGGAAAACAAATCAGGCCGCATTTTTTGCGTTCGACAGGTTTACTTTACAAATTCTTCACAACAAATCTGAGGGTGTGTAAACCAACCTTTTACACTTTTTATACATCACATCTGAGGTGAAACAGTACTTTTTATCATACAGACCTCGGACAGAATACGGCATTTCACAATTTTTCAATGTTCAGGACAATCAATCGTGGGCTTTTAGCGAAACCGTTCAAAAAATTTCCAAAATCACCCATACGGCCAGCCGGTTCTCATTTTTAATGCGAGCTGTCAGTGTGGTCGAGTGTTTGAATGAACTTTAATGGAAATACGCTTCAACATAATAACGAATTTATTATCATTATTTTTTGTTATTTAATGGTTCCAGTTATAACGATGTGTAATCTTATAAAGCG